ACGCCTGTTTTTTCGCTTACGTAGGACACGCTCCACTATCCCACGGCTGTCAAATTAACCTAGTGGAGACATATTAATCTTAAACCATATACTAAATTTGCAAGTAGTTTGTCATCAGAACAACAATTGATACAGCCCGTTTGGCTTAGCGGTAAAGCGCATCACTAGTACTTGTACATGATGAGATCCTAGGTTCGATTCCTAGAACGGGCAATCACGCGATATATATAATAATGTTGTTCAATTTTTTGCATCTTTGCTCTCAGATGTGAAGGGGAAAATGGTTAGATCCCTAGAGCGGACGATCACACAAGTATTTGACTTTTTTTTTTTCTTTTCACAGTTGATAATTCTGTATAAGATAGGTATTTTGCCAAAGAAAAGATTCGTTTCTTCCGTGGAACTACTGCCCCTCTCCCTCGACATGGTTCGAACCGCAGGGTTCTGGTGGTTCTTCACGCCTATTACGAATCTCCCAACATTCATTCCTTTTAAGGTTTATTATGTATTATGTGCCTTGTTATTTATTGATTGGTCAGCTTTTTTTTTTTTTTTTTTTTGGCAAAATAGCGAATAATATATTCTTGTAGCGGTAGTATGAATCAAATTATCGGCTAGCTAGGAGGTCAAATAATTTCAATCTTGTTTCCGTAAATTTCAGCTCATCAAATGAAAGTTTGCTGTTATAGTTGAAAAACTATCCAGCGACTCATATCTACTTCACGCAGCCTAATATCAAGGAACTCGGCTAATCAAATGAAACTTGGCCATTCCGCTTGAGGTATCCTCTAGCAAATCATGTCTGCTTCACTCCTCGCTCAGTATCAGCCTCGCTCTGAGTAATGATGGAGGGAGTTGTGCTTGAACCATCCGCCTTGAGCTCTATGGCGATGAAAGCATCTGCCCGTCCGTTAATTGGCTTTGAAACTGTAAGGCCAGCCCAATTTTCAGTCATCTGAACAATGAAAGTATCATCATTCCCATCTGTGTTTGCTTTTCCGTTCAAATTCAAGGCGAAGGATCCACCTGAAGATATGAAAAATCTGTCAGGATCAGCGTAACCGGCAGTCCCTTGCGGAGAAATGGTGAACTGCATCTCGTTATTCACAATCTCTACTTTTGCTTTGAGGTTCTGAGGGATGCTATCTCTTGTGATCGACCAATGTGAATCGGAAGTTGTATCTTGACTCCAACTACCACAATCTGCGTTCCAGATACAATTATCATTTACAGCCTGCATTCTCAGAAAAGTAGCCTTAACTGATTTAAAGGCTAATTTTGCACCAGATTTGTTCGATCCTTGGAGTGTGAGATTCGCATGTTTTGAGTCGGCGTCGTAGGTCACCGAGCCCGTCCAGGTGATATGTGGAGTATCTTTGGTGACAGATGTATCAGAAGTATAAACCACATTTGTAGCCGTGTTTGTATTCTGGGGGTGATCTTCTGGCGTAGAAATCCAGGTGACTCGACTCGCATCTGGCCTACTTCATTGTCAAAATATACTTGCGGGTTAGTTTATATTTGAGATGTTTTGCTCACTCTAGGTAGTGAATGGGAATAATGATATCGCCCACTGCGTTCAACGCAGCGGTTCCGAACTCAAGCTCATTCTTTCCTGGACACGCCACTTTGATATCTGGGGAACGAAGCAGGTCGGGTATTTGCACAAGTATTCCACCGACCATCTTCCTATAACCCCTCAAGAAATAATCCCAGCTCGAATCTGGATCTGAAGGGACTACAGAGTCGAGATCTGAGGGAACTAACAGCTGTTCACCGTCCACTTCTTCGAGGATACATTTGCCGATTTTTGCAGTGGGGTCATCCGAATCTAATTTGTCCATATTAAATGTGGCCGTCCAGTCTACCTCATGATTAAAATCACTTTAACAGATTAGCATCTGTACTGATTCAAGAGGCTTACATATAATGCTTACGGATACCATTGTGCAACATTGTCTACATCTTCTTGGGGCCAAGTGATCGAACCAAAGTACTCAACATGTCCGCTGAGTGTAAAAATGGGGGAATCTGGCGGTCCGATGCCTAAATGTACGGATGTCTCGGCAGTCAAAGTGTAGTTGGCCTTGAAAGCTCCATCAGAGGAGTATATATCGTTTCCTAGTGCGGATACTGACTTCGACCAGCAATACTGAACATCAGAGGACTTACTAAGATCATAGTATCCTTCTTCAGATTGAAATTGTTCAAGATCATTGTATTCATCGTTGGTCATGTCATCGATCTTGGCAAACCTTTGTGATAAATACACTGTATTCTCACCAGGCCTTTTGTCAATCACATGAGGCGGAAGAGGGTAGGCAATTACCTCTTGGCAGATACATTGCACAAGGTAGTGAAGAGTATTACTAGGGGACACACTGCTTTTGATGGCAAATGTTCCCAGAGACTCGTTTTTTGAACCGTCTCCAGGCCATGCAAAGTTTCCATTAAATGGCAAAGGATCCTCTGGTAAGGACGAACCCTGATCAAAATCAATCTCGCAAAAGCAGAGACAGTTATAAGGATTCCCTGTTTGGCCAGTCATGGGGGATCCGGTGTCTTCCACACCCCATTTATCTGGGGTGATGTATGGGTATTGTTGCAATCGAAGCATCTTTGGAGCTTAGATCAAAGTCAGAAAAACAAGTTTGGAAGATGCTTAGGACAGATTTACCGATGTTGACTTCGTCTTCACTCACTTCTCACACAGTCAGCATTAGCTAGTGGAGATGGCTGGGGAAGGGAAAATCACCTTTGGGCCTAGGTATATCTACTTGCATATTTTGCATGAGGAAAGATGCGTGTTTATTTGAGAGTCCTAACTCTCGTATAAACTGCTGAACCTGACTATACAATGCATTGTTGCTTGAATCTGCTGCCCATTTATCAAGATAAACCTTGGTTCCATCTTGGTCTGTCAAATAGGATTCTTCCCATACAGGACTACCCCAATCAAGATCTGCAAATAGATGGTTAGCTCTTCTTTAACAAACATATCGGTCAACGAACAGGCAATGATGGCTAAAAGCCGATGAATAGAGTATTCTCCTGGACTGAGACCAATGGCACTGGATTGCGTAGAATTCACGGTCTCAGGTGTGTTTTCGAGCGCGGCGACCTGATCTCTTGTCCCATTGAGGGTGGCTTCTTTGGGCCAGACGAGGTTGAAAATGACGACCCAGCTATCAACTCTTTGATAAGTGTTCTGGCCAAAATAGATTTGGCCTTTATCAAATCTGTCATGAGAATGAAATCAATACAAAGTTTTTTCTTATTGAGCGCAGAGTGTATATTTACCGAAGTGCCAGCTTGAAATTGAGACTATTCACAGTCTCCATATCAAGCTCAATTTGAGGCGCCAGCATTGTTGATCTCAATTGGCCATCTGATGCTTGTTCATTCTCCCAAAGCAATTCACCTGCTGAAGATGGCCGCTTCGCGAAAACACTCTCCAAGGCAGAGTTGATAGCTTTCTCTGATATGGCACATACATGCTTAAAGCCACCAAGAGATAAATATCTGGGATTAAACGTTCCAGACATTCTGTAGAATAAAGAGAGGTTGTCGAAGATTTGAGTGTCAAATGGGGAAAAAATGAACAGTTGAACTAGAGGAGGATATAAAGATATTTTTTTCTTGATGATAGCCACTGCTGGCTTGTTATTTATCGTGAGCACAAGTACAAGTACAAGGTACGATACAAATACTACAAAAATGAGCAAGTAACAGAATCACCAGCATAAATGCTACGAGATATTAATTAAAGTTAGGTTTTGAGAAACATAAAGTGTGACACTAGTCATACTTCCCCTCACTTATGTCCTACAGTATAGTTTCCCGCAAACAGGTTTTACAGATATTTGTTTTTCTTCAGCTTAACAAAATTGGTTGGCTTTGCAGAAAAAAGTGACACTGGAGATAACAGACAGTCAATCGGAAAACAATACGTGACAACAAATATGATCGGGCTGCTATATAGATTGAATACTGTCTGTCTTACATTCACAACTGTTCAAAGTTAGGAATGTATCTTGAGAAAGGATATCCGAATCAGAAATTCAATACATACAAATGAAAAGTTACCTTGTCACGCATAACATCAATATCTGATAGAGAAAAGAGTCGATTTTGATCCAATGGAATGAGTTCTGCCGTCAGGTTCTACATGCAATATCTGGTACCAGGCTGGAAGTGTTGTTGTAGTCAGATGCATAATGACGAATAAAGCACAAACACGAAAATGAAGAGTGAAGGTAATCTAGCTCAATTGAATGGAGATATGGGGGGTGTAAACCTAAGGTACCAAGTTACATCTCAAATTTGCTGCAGGTATATTGTGAATAACGTGTTGTGAGTTCAGATTGCTACTATTTGTAGAGCTGCATGGAGTGTATTTTTATATAGGTGCAACCCCAGGGCCCCCATCACCACGGCGACAATATATGTCTACAAGTAAAAGCCCTCTATTCCACTTTGTAACTGCAAGTCACGATTATAAGCTTGCACTTCAATTCAACTACATCATCTCAAACGCCAATCGAGGCTCTTTACGGTAAAATCATGGGGATTTCTCATGCACGTATTACCACATGTATGCGACTTGAACTACATTGTGAAATATCACGGGATACAAGGCTCGCAGGCGCAGAACCCGATACATGTATTACAAGCAGAGGGAATTTGAAAAGTTTCACTCACGGATGGTAGATGTATGTGGAGATATGTGGTGCCTGGATTGTCGCAGAACCTAGACACTGGCTGAACTTTGATCAACAGGATCACTAATACATTTATTGACACGTTACAATTCATGCTATTCTTCTCAATCTTCATTGAAGCTTAGAAGGAAGACCTTGATGTAGTCTCAGTAAACTCGGGAAAATTCCGTTCTCAGCTTCTTAAAAGAAACGCCTTTGGCCACATCGATATAGGGTTTCGAGCAACAAACTTCCCGTTTAATTACTTTCCTATACTGAATTCTGCTCATAAACTCAATCATGTCGCCAAGTTATATCGAAGTCGTTGGCAAGAGTATTCTCAGCGATGATCTTACGCAGAAGTTGACCGATGCAGACATCAATCAGCCTGGAGATCCCAGGGGGGCTATTGATGCCTTTCTCGGAAAGTGGACTGTCCCTTGTAATGCCATCGTATACCTTACCTTCATCAAGACATTATTGATCTATACCGACGACGACGAGGATATTTGTGGCGCATTCTTGACAATACTACCAGACGCTACTCCGGAGGATCTTGCGAAAGTACTTTTTCCGCAAGACAAACTTGATGAGTTGATAGCCTCCAAATCCAACACAATCCCAGATGATTTGACTGCCAATGATGTGAATCAAGTGCGAGCCAGGTTTCTTGCTGATCAGCCACTCGTCATTATACTTGTTATGATCAGAGACAATGGCGACTTTACCCTCGAAGATCGCCCACGTACCATTGTAGTACTCATTTTAGAATTGATGGTTAAGCGTCAAGCTCAACTTGGTTCTTCTGAGCTGATCAGCATGTTGAAGGAGTTTTTTCCGCAGGATGAATCCCCGTTGACCGACAAAGAGATCACCTCCGCTTCTACGTTTGTCAGATCTGTAAAGACTCTCTCGTATCTCGTTGAAGACCCATTGGATATTCCTCGTCTTTACGACTCAAAATATCATTCCATACGAAGTATTACAGGCAAGTCGAAGAATGATTTCAAGTCTGATCTGCAAAGCGCAGGCTCATCGACCGCGAACGCTCTAAAAATTCACGATTGCGCTGAGCGTGTTGACTGCTGGAATGAGCAACTTTGGCTGGCGCTGATGAAGGCAGGTAAGGCTGATGTGGCAGATAGTATGATACCGCAGCCTCAGCCGGTGGACGATGACGGAGATTCAACGGACGATACCGTAAAGCCAAATCAGCCCTTAGCAAGCCTTAGCGGTCCTCCAGAATCTTGGAATAACTTGACGGATATATTTCGTCTCGAAAATATTGCATGCGAGGAGTGTTGCTCCATAACTTCCATGTCTGCTTATTTCGCAGATCTCTTGAACTTGTTAAGCAACACTACAGCTACAGGTGGAGCTGGAACAACAACCGAAGATACAACTGCCGTTTCAGATTCAGGCACAAACAGCAGTCTCCTAGACTTGCTTTCAGCTCGGCGCCCAGATCTTAAAAAATTAGAGCTCAGCTGCGCAAACTCACAAACCTTGGTTCCTAATATAAATCTTGTTAATGAAGTACTCGAATCATACATTCGCTACAAAAGTCAATCTTTGCTGTCTGCACCGGCTTCCGACGAGCAAGATTCTATACTTGTCTTTAATACACCTGCAGATGCCGCAGATGATTGCGTGCAAGATATTCACTCTGACGGACCAGTCTATCGGCCCGGAAACACAGACTTTGAAGTTTATTCCAAAGTCGTCTCCCAACAGATGTACCCGTTCACCTGTTTCCCATACGATTATGCGTGGTCATCTGTTAAAGAATATTTCAACATATTCCAGATACCTTATGCACAACTGGTCGAGGTATTTCAAGCACCTGAGCTTCTCTTCGAGAATATAACACAAGTCGCGCGTGGTAAACTCTCTGAAGAGCAGAGAACTGGGCTGCTTCGTGGATCGGCCGAGGTGCTGAAGAGACAAATTGCGGCATCAGTTCTGAATTTACATCAAAAGAGTTTGCTGCCATCACGGGTGAAACTTTCTTCCCCGCCTGGTTTGCCGCTTGGCTCGAAGGATTGGCAAGTGATATCATTCCCATAGCCACAGGGCCACTGGAAGGCGATACTGCCACTCAATGGGCTATGAAGATGAAGATACAATGCTAGAGTCCACGAATGAACTTGGCCTAACGTACATCAAGCAACAGCTAATGAAAAGGACAGGGCTAGATTTCCCGACATCCTAGACTTAGTCAAGACCCAGCTGTTCGGAAAAGACCTAGTGATCATCAACAAAACCGGATCGCAAGAGTTCAGTACTTTCATCGACGACCTCAGACTTTTAGCCAATGCGTCAGAGCCACCGTTTCAAAGCCTGAACACTACCTTATGCCGAGACCTTCAATCGTTTTTACGCCTGAAGGCTAAGCTTGGATGGTCGACGAGGGATCTTGATGCAGCTATCTACTGCTTACGTAATAATGAGATGGAGCTCTCTCCGGATTTCAAAGTAACTACCGCCCCCAACACGCGACCCATCTCTGTTTACGTTCTTAATGGAATTGCGTCTATTATCAAGTTGAACAATCTATGTGGAATTAAACCCGCTGCTCTACTTCCATTATGGGGCCCTATCGATGCCTTTGGTAAAGATTCGTTTCTTTACCGCAAATTTCTCCGTCCTTCTCTAGGGCAAGTGTTCGCAATCCCAAAAGATGGCGAAGAATTCTTCGAGCCAGGCGGCTCAAAGTTCCAAATTTATGCATGCGGTACAAGTGTATGCGCGAGTCTAAAATGGCCATTTCAATATCTTAAAGATCTGCTTGAAGCTACAGGTTATTCTGATTCTCATTTGACTGTCGGCACTCTGTCAAAACTTTACCGCTATACTACTGTTTCCCAGATTTTGTCTATTCCTGCAACAAAATGTGCTCAATTTTTCAAACTGTTCTTCGACGAAGCAAAGGAGAATCCCTTATCAAGCCCTGAAGTCACATTTGAAGTGCTAGAAATGTGGAAAAAGCTGTTGAATTCAAACTGGACAATCGAATCACTTCTCGATGTTTTAGAGACTACCCAGCTTGAAGACAATCAAGATAGCTCCGGGCTACAACTCACCAGAGCTATTTTAGAAGGGACCGTGGATCTGAAAAAGTCACTTTCATCTATTTCTACAGTTGACATACCAACTTCAGAAACTGTCGTCGATTGTGTTGGGCGAACATTTGATGCAGCAACAGCAAGCACAATTGTAGGATTTATTGAGGGTGAGTGAATTCTCTAACCTCATTTGAAATTTCAGGCATTCGAAATAATGGAATTGCACTTGACAATCCGTGTAATTCCAATAGTCGAATTTAATTGAAGCATTTGAAATACTTCAGACTAGACTATTAGAAACTTTAAGTTACTGACATTTTACTAGGCACTCAGATTCTGACAAGCTATATCAAACTTTCAGACAAGGCGGCCCTCGACTCACTGGTTAGCCTAGCAAAGGACTGGCCAAACAAGATTTCGATTATTCCTTCTATTGAAGGAACGATATATTCTGCCCAGATAAAGCTCTGTGGTATATTGACTTCAAGTGAAAAGACGAACATCTTGGATGGAAGTGAAAACTCTCCCGCAATTAAAACTGCACTTGCTACTTTGGTGGCGACTTCGCTGTTTCCACAGAAAATTATTATATCACGTTTTGAGAACAATCCCGACTCCAGCGGGAAGCTACAGAGCAACATTCTTCTTGATGATTGGGAGGAGCCACCGTCTAAATCGACTGAATCTTCTTCTCCAGATGCATCTTCTATTGCCGCAGAAAACTATCTTCGGAATCGAAGAGCAGCTTTTATTGACTTGGCCAAACCGACCATTATCCAAGATCTCCTTACTTCTCTCATTCTCAACTCTACCAAAGACCAGATACTCGACGTTGATGTTTCGATTATATCAAGTCTTATTTCGGACGTCGTTAAAGTTCCAACTAAGGACGGCAGCGGGCTCGAGTCCGCTATGACTGCTCTACAGAGTCTTAGCGTACCCATCGAAAGCTCGATTGAAACGAATCTGGACGCATATTTCACACCTACAACCACTGATGATTACACGATACATTACACGGGAACCAGTACTAGTCCTGAGATAACCATTAACGGACTTAAGATGCCCTTCGATGCATCTGCAAACACATGGAACCAGTTTCGTATGATCTCTGGTCAAGCATACCTTTTACAAGCCGGTTTTGATCCTTCTCAAGTGTCTTGGTCAACATGCAGATCAATGCCGACGCCTTTTACCGACGAAGAGCTATTATTATCGGCGACATTTCAGCGAACAACGAGTGTTCTTGAAGCAATTCGCAAGGCAACACTTATTTGCCAAACCTTGAAGCTGACTACGGCAGAGATCGCATTTTTCAACCGTCAAGTACAACTGAAATTCGAAATGCTGGCTATCGACCTCAATTCACCGAGTCTGAAAGATCTTGTCCAGCTCCAAGATTATTGCGCCTTGAGAGATACTTGTATCCCTAGCACCAAAGACGACAATCTGATGAGTCTATTTTCTTGGTTGTCTAGCTCGACTGATACTGATGTAAGCAGTATTGTAACGAAAATCGCGGCAAGTACAGGCTGGAATAACACGCTTGTAGAAAGCGCCTTGAACGAAAATATCCGAACTATACTGCAGCAAATCTGATGGCAACGTTGCGTAATTACGATAACTTCTTGGGCTTAAACGCAATTGTGTTATTCTATGGCAGCCTTGGCGGTGTATCTGACATCAACTCCATGCCTCCCATGGCCGAACTCTTTGACCTAGCTAGGCCTGCGCAACAGCTAGATAATGCAGACTCTTATTTTCAAGCTGCACAAGACCTTCAGAACAGATTGACCGCCACACAACAGGAAAACTTTGAAGATGGACTCATGCAGACCCAGCGTGCTGCCCTTGTGAATTACCTATTGCAGCAAGACTACATCAAAGATCTCAATATCTGGGATGCAGATGGACTCTTCGAATATTTCTTTGTTGATGTGCAAATTGGTCCACAATTGCGAACATCACGCATTAAACAAGCAATTTCAGTGGTGCAGTTATATACACAACGTTGTTTGCTAGGGCTCGAAGAGGACGTCGCGATGACAGATTTGCGACGCGACAAATGGGATTGGATGCAGCAATACCCTCTGGGAAGCTAACAGAAAGCTGTTTCTCTATCCCGAAAATTGGATTGATCCAATGCTTCGGGATGATAAGAGCCAGTTATTGATCAATTTGGAAGCTGCGCTGCTTCAGAAGGATCTGAGCATCGACACATTTTTGCACGCTATTCAAAACTATGTATATGGGTTGAATGAAATCTCGAAGCTTGACATTGTTACATATGTCCACGAACCCGAATTTAAGCAGGCTGATATATTCCACTTTTTTGGGCGGACTCGTACCGCGCCATATTCGTTTTATTATCGCACTGTGAGTATCTTGGCAACTAGTGAGATATTCTGGCAGCCGTGGACCAAGATTGAGATGGATATTCCGTCGATTGAAACAGAATGGGAAGGTCATCGCCTCGAGAACATTGGCAGCTATCTGCTCCCCGAGATAATTGGAGGTCGACTTTATCTTTTCATTGCCATCAATCATGGCGAAGTCTTTGGCGACGAATATAGGGAACAATCTCAAGGTGTCACCACTTTCGACGATTTACGCGGGAAGCCGCCTGATATAGCGGCCCCTAAACGTGTATGGGAAATCTCAATGGCTTGGACTGAACTTATCAGAGGCAGTTGGCACCCAAACGTGTATCGGCAGGAACTCTTACTGTGGGCTTGGTAGCTTCTGCATCACAATTTCGAGTTGAACCAACTTTTGATGATAATAAGATGACAATGAAGATAAACTATTCGGCAATAGGAGATACTGACTTCAACGAAATTGGCAGCTTCATATTCTTTAACGATCAGATCAGTACAATCAACAGTGACTCAACAACATCTATCCACGGCGACTTTCCAACTTACTTCCAGAAGGTGCTAGGCAACGGTACCAAATCAACTGCTCTGGAAATTGATCCCTCTTTCCCAAATAAGCCTCTGATTTGGATACCGAATGGTTTTAAAGTCCTACGAACAAAAGGATCTCACTTGGACTCTGTCGAAAACACAGCAACGTGTCACGGCCCTTGTAGTAAGCACCATAGATAGCGATGGTATGAGTCTAAGCCGCTTTAATATGCCAAGAACAGAACTCACTCCGACGGATGGACGCCAATGGACTACTCAAAGAGTAATGGATGATATGGAGCTTGTACAGCTGGATCATTCGTTTTCTCATGAGCTCATGGAACATACTACCGACCGTGTCGATCCACTAGGAAATCTTTATAATAACCTAGCTCTAACACCTGCAGACCAGCTAAAAGAACGTTACGGGGCCGGCAGCCAAAACGCATCATATCACGAACTGGGTCGTCCAACTGCTATCTATAACTGGGAGATTGGCATACACGCTGTGTATCTGGCAGTTGATCGGTTGTCCACTACACAGCAATATGACGAAGCACTGCAAATTGCAAGACTTGTCTTTGATCCATCAGTATCCGTAAAAGTAGACAGATCTAATGGCGACAAGACAATAAGCACTCAATCCTGTTGGAAATTTCCACCATTCCAAGATATGGCTTGCATGATGTCGAATAAAGGCGAAAGCTCGTTCGATCCTCTAGATCTGGCAAACCTGAAAAAGGAGATCGAGCTTGCAATTAAAGAAAGACGTTCATACGGTGCGCTAGTGCATGCCGCCGCGCGTGGTCGACCTGTTTCATATATGAAATGGATTGTCATGAAATATGCTGAGATCCTCATTGCCCTTGGGGACATACAATTCCGACAAGGCACATCCGAATGTCTTCCATTGGCCACTCAACGATATATAGAGGCAGCTAGAGTACTGGGACCCGAGCCACCTAATGTACCAGATCTTGGAAATCGGAAATCGAAGGTGCTGACGTACGCACAACTAAGAACAAAGGATAATGCATTCGATGAAGTCTCACTGGATCTAGGCCTGCCATTTTCATTCAACATAGTACCAAAAGGAAACGCTACAGTCTCAAGCACTGACCCAAAAATGGAGAGCATTACTTGCGTCCTGAAGACAGATTATTTTTCCATTCCCCTGAATCCTAAATTCAAGACAATGCGAAGCCTAGTGCAGGAACTTCTTTTTAACATTCGAAATTCCTTCGATATTCAAGGAAAGCCGGTGGTCTACGCGCTGAGAGATCCACCCATTGATCCGTAAGCACCTCCAGGACTTTCATTTTATCCTCCCTTATCCCAATTCTCGTCTCATATTTCCTCTGCATCTTCTCAACTTTCTTACATACAAAGGACTTTTCATTTTCCTCTCAAGTATTTCCATATTTAGTAATTACTAACTTTCTAATGTTCTAGTGGTGACTTGGTGGCTCTCAGCAAGCAAGGTCTCAGCATATCTGATGTGCTGAGCATGATTTCCGGCCAAAGAGATGGTCCACTAACTAATCAACGTTTTGCAACTCTCATGAGCGTAGCTTTGGACTTGTGTACCGAAGTACGTTCGCTGGGAGAAAGTCTCTTGGCAGCAATAGAAAAAAGAGATGCAGAGAGTCTCAATGTCATCATGGCTCGAAACAACACTGGCATACAGCAAGGAATGTTGGAAATGAAGCGAATCGAACTTGACGGGGCGCAAAAGACTATTGAATCGCTTTTGATGGATCGCAGCTCTCAAGAAGCACAATTAGATTACTATCTCAAACTCATTGGCGAACCAGATACCAAAATTCCCAAACCTAGCGACGATTGGACTGATGTCCCACAAAACATTGATGTACAGTCATCAGATGAACTGCGAATGTCTCCCTACGAAAAATTACAAATGACAATGTCTCTATCCGCATACTCAAAGAACAGCCTAGCTACAGTCACAGATGCAGTGGCTCTTCCATTGTACCTGTTACCAACAATACAAGGGGACTTTGAGCCTCTCGGAGTTGGAACTAGCATCTCAGCTGGCGGTACTCAGTATGCAGAGTTTGTGGCAGCCGGTTCCGCGCTATTGAGGGGATTTGCTGGCTCGATGCAGCCAAGCCGACCAAGCCGACAAGAAGGCCAGTCTTACAGCACAATTGCAAGATCGTCGATTCCAAGCAAATATTAGTGGGCGCCAGATCAAATCCATCGACAAACAAATTGAGATACAGCAGATACATATCAAATCCATACAGAAAGATCTCGATATGCAGAAATCCCAACTAGACGAAGCTGTTCAGGCTGAGACATGGTATCGTTCCAAATACACTAACGAGCAACTCTACAGCTGGATGGAGAAGAGACTTAGGAACTTGTATCTTCAAGCGTATAATCTGGTTCTAGATGCAGCTCTTCGAGCACAGAACGCCTTATCATTTGAATCTGGTCGCAAAAGCTCAATCATCAAACCAGCCGGTTATTGGGATGCTTCACGCGATGGATTGCTTGCCGCGCAGGATCTATTTTGGGATTTGAAAAAGCTTGAGGCTGCACAAGCGGGAAATACTTCAGCGGACTACAATATTACCAAAACTGTATCCCTGAAAGAGATTGATCCTATGGCACTGATGAATTTCAGAATCACGGGAACTTGCGATTTCTCATTGGACGAGGTGCTTTTCGATATGGACTTCCCCGGCCACTATATGCGTAGGATACGATCAGTGGCTGTATCGATTCCTGCGGTTTTCGAACCCAATTGCAATGCCAATGCTATATTGACACTGCTATCGCATAAATACCGCGTTACCCAGAGTGCTGCCGACTATGTTGCTTCTCAGTCTGCAAGTAGTGAATCATTTCGCACTGATCGGATTCCGACGTCTTCTATTGCCGTTAGCTCCGGTGATGTAGACTCTGGAGTTTTTGAACTCGATTTTTCTGCCTCTCAATACATGCCTTTCGAGGGTGCAGGCGCTATCTCGAAATGGCGTCTGGAACTCCCATCACCGGTTAGGACTTTCAGCTACGAATCTATCACTGACGTGCTGTTACACGTACAATACACAGCTTATGAAGGAGGTCCGTCGTTACGCGCAGCAGCGAACCAAGCTACACTTCAAGTGATGAAAGCGACGGGAGCGGAAGGGCAGCAGCAAGGGTTTTCGGCGATTTTCGATCTCAAAAACGAGTTTGCTGATGATTGGAAGAGCTTTGGTGATCAATTGGCTTCCGAGACGACTGGTTCAGATGCACCAAGTATGAAACTTGGAGATTTGAAAAAGAAACTTCCTTATTGGTCTCGAAGACAGAATGCCCTGGAGGTTAAGAACATCACTTTCATAACTCACAGCGAAGAACTGCGCAATAAACTTGACATCGAAAGTTCGAAGGGTGCTAGGGATTGGGTTGTAAGTCAAATCGGAGACTACTATGTAAAGTCTTCGTCTACTTGCAGTGATACGAGTTTAAATTGGACCATCCAAGCAGTCACATCCCCAACGAAATGGGATAAGAAAAATTTCGAGAACGCGTTTTTGTTGTTTCAGTATGTGTTTACAGGGACAAAGATTGTTTAGTTATTTTGTAATCACCATTTATAGCACATTCTTGGGAATGCGATTGGATTGTCTTTCTTAGTGTAGTGGCGAGCATAGTTTGTTAAATTTGATGATTGATCCCTTGATTGATTGATTGCTTAAAGAGTCGATTTACAGAGTGCTAACAGTGCTTTCTAATGTTTGCTTCTCGTCAACATGCACCTCTTTGCTCTATGTCTCTGATGTATCAATCTTCAAATATCAGAAAGATGCCTAATCGCCCATCCCCCTCCCCCAGGAACTCTCCATATCAATAGCGAATACCTATTATCCACATGCCTACCTACATTTGCATACCACAAGCCCCAATCTACCTACCTGCATCCCTTCCACTACTTAATTTCCAGCCATGCAAAACAGATTTCAGACCCTACATTCCTTCCTAATCACAGATGTAGACAGGCAAACGAGTTTCTTCATTCATTACCTACCTTTACCTATCTTTCCCTGTACACGGAAAGATACCCAGCCCCTCAATCTATTTTCGAGATTATAGAGAATAGCAAAGACATTTCTACATACATATTTCACAAGACGAGAACGCGTTGATCAATAAGATCTCCCCGGATATAAAGAAGTGGGGTGATAAATGAACGTTCTCGCTTGATGATAAGGGGGTGGGTATCTATCGTAAACGGTAACGGGGGTAGAGAGTCAAAATATCATTATCATGTCATAGCTAAGAGTGGAGTACGGAGAGACCGCAAAGTATTGGTTATCGTCGTATCTTTATCGTCCCTTGTTGTCGTATTTTGGGACAACTTGTAAGTGTGGTATATATACCAATAAGGAAATTCAATCGAGAAAAGATAAAAATGAAATTCTTAAAATGATGGGTCTTATGCCCTTACTTACATCATTCTTACAAAATAGAGAAGATAGCGCTACAAGAATCCCGCAAAGTACGTGTACGTTGCTCTCATGAACTCTAAAACCATTCACACTTACACAAAAGAAAGATTGATCCACCCCTCCCCCTATACACGTGGAAACACGAGAAGGCTAACAGTGAACATTAAGAAAAAAGAACAGCTTGTAAGTTGGCTGGTGAATATAAATTGATACGGCTATCCGAGATCGGATTATAAGGCGCGTGACTATCGATGAGAAAGAGTCATAGACATGTTGTCATGAACGCAAACATTGAATCAAGGTCACAGAAAATTGCGAAACCGTTTCACCCTATTGTCGTGAAAGACACTCGTTCTATTATTCACATATAGGGCAACTGCCCCTCATCATCTCTATTCCTGACCAAACTATCTTTTCCGTTCCTCCTTGATCTCCATCAACAAGCGTCAATCACAGACGAAGAAAATGAATTTCCATTTCACCCCGCAAACCCAGGTCATCCCCCTATAAAATGTTGACCGCATATCCACCCGACATCAGTGAATGCCGTGGCGCAGTCCGCTCATCTGCTTTCCACCCCTCCAGAAATACTGATTCACAAGCCACCGTATCTAAACCCGTACTCACACCTCGGTCTCTATAAGAAAGACTTCAAATGGCTTGAAACTCCATGCAACCTCCGACTTCCTTACACCACCAAAACCTCGAACAACGTTAACTCTCAAGCAACTTGCTTTCAATAATACCTCTTAATATCAACAACAACACACTGACTTACCTTTCATACCTTTATCTTTATATCTCACTCCCTCTCACATATCATATATTTGACTTCTCATATGAAACACCACATTTTGTGACACCAAACCATGACTCACGGTTCAGACACAATGTCACTTCCTGACAACATCTTCTGCTGCGACTGTTGCACGGAAGTCGATACTCGACACTCCGACAAACCTTATCATGATCCTAACAAGCACTTTCACAAAACCATCTACCAATCGTTCCTCAATTTTGCAGCCCGATTATCGGCAGCCGAAGATCATCTTGAAATGGTCCGAGCTCATGAAGATGCTGAACGTCAACGCCAGGCTGCTCAAATTTGTGCAGCAGTCATCCCAGACCAAGAAGAATCAGAGTTTATCTCGATGACGCTGTCGGATATGATCCGAAGTTATAATCCTGATCACAAAATGACCAATCTAGCTCCACCTGCTTCGATGGCTTCCACGAAATCTCCTACCCCTCCATTAGTATTGAATAGTGCATTCAGATTACCCTCTTCCCCCCCAATCTCTCCATGTATCACACTGGCCAGACCGATCTTAACTCAAAATTGCTCGGGTTTCCGCTCTTTTTCGAATAGCAATGCGGTATTTGAAACCCACCTGATGACGCCGCCGCCTTCACAACCATCTTCAAAGCCCAACTCTAAGATGTCATCTCTCTCTTCCGGGATTGGACAATCTTTCGTGGAATTGCTTAGAAACAAACCTAATGCTCCCCCACCATCGGGCATTCCTAATCTCGGATCAAGCATCACTGACTCAAAAATCCCTGAGTGGAGATCCCGTGCGACAATGCAAGCGATGCAACCTCTTACGCACTCTCCCACTCCTTTTGCAACATCCCGTCTTGAAACATCTCCAAATTCACCTTGGAAATTTGAGCCAACACTCTCTCCAGATCGTAATGGAACGTATGGGTCATTCCAGTCTTCGACAGCCACTGAGATGTCGGGGCCGCATCAATCCCTGACTCTCACTAGAAATTTGGGACCAACCCAGTATTCAACTCCTTTCAAACCGTTCGCCGACATTTCCTTCGATGATTTCAGAACTGCCCACGTACCATATTGGACACAAACAGAACCAGAACCTTTAGTTCCTCAACGAGTTCTTTCTCCGTCTAACTTGATTAACAATCCACTCGTTACCAATCCTCCCCCAACATACGTGATTCACATCACCTCCCGTCAAGACTACGGCAAAACTGAATCTCATCGATATTTTGTCTGTCCCACAGACCTAACATCTGACTGGCCGGAAGTCAGTTTACTGCAGTGGTTTGCAGCTGGAGTTGGTTATGACGTCAAAGCCGAGAAATGGGACCATAAATGTTTGGAACATCAGAGATTCTTCCGAATGGTCTTGAGACCCAATTTAGCGATGCGGGAATGGGGCTTGGGTAGACCATTAGAGGAGCTGCAAGCCGAATTGGCAAAGCTGAATGCAGCTGCGGCATTGGGAGGTGTATAGATTTGAGCGCATGGTTGTTGTTCGCGTATATGATTTTTGGGATTCTTGGCTACTAGCCAATGTCGTTGGATTTTTCTTTTTGCGGAATCTTTGAATCTGACAAATAATTAACGGAGGAACTTGGAGGAGTCAATACGTGGAGAATTGAAACAGCATTGCTGGCGATGCTTTGCGGCTCAGATGAGTCTACCTTGCAGTAGTAGTTATATTGGTCTTCCGTATAGATAGACTTTCCGCTTAGGTGGCTTTGCATACTATCGTATGTTCGATGGTAATTGCAAAGACCTTGCGGACCAAAGTCTGGATCTTTGAATTTGGGCGTTCTTTATTGCGATTAGGCATTTTGAAAAGTAATGCAAAGCGTTGAATCTATCTGGAGTTTGACTTGATTGTGATGTGAATTGACAAGATGCTTCCTCGAACGTGATATATAGTTAGCTTCCTTTTACATGGAGTGATAACTTCATAGTGAATCGTCTGAGAATACGTAGAATAGTGCAATAGGTCTCGCTACTCACTCGTGGTCAATACATACTTCCCAGGTGAGAAAGTAGTAAGAGATCTCGCATTGCTCAAATAGAACTTCAAACAGACCAGAGTTCTTAACCTACTAGTAACAAACAAATCATACCTTGTTCAATATCACTTACTATAGTCAACATACGTAATAACATACTCTGACTACTCACCCACTCACTCTATTCTCATCTTTTCATTTACAATAATGTGGACATCTAATAAATAACGACTGCTCATCTTTCCTTTGAAGTTACGAAATCAAAATAAAGAGCCGAGCTTTACCCTAGAGATAAGCTAAAAGCTATGTAGCAAGCTGCAGCTCCGAACCTCGGTATTATCGCGTAACATCTACTCCCGACCTTGCACCTTATCCATGTTCATAGGTATCCATCTATCCAAGTAAACAAAAACTGGAATTACCTTATTTTCCGTCTCTCTTCTTACATCTTTCCAAACTTACATATATATCTTTTTCATATACCCAAATCTATATATCTATATCTACAACACCCAGCATGTCCGAAATCAGCGGGATACCACCCGCCGAAACCTCCCCCGCATCCGCTCTCCCTCTCCCCATCCCCACACCATCTCCCCCACAGATTCCCACACCACAAGCACTGCAAAGCTGGCTCCCTTTATACCTCTCCAAAACCGACAGCGTGCTCACTCACCTCTCCAAACTCCTGAGTACCCCCTCCGGAACCGATGTTCTCCTCTGCACAATCGGCTACAGCTCCCTCCTAACTTCCAACCTCCTTTCCCGTCTCTCTCTCCATCAAATCCGCCAAGCCGCTCGTCTTCTGATCGAAAAAGCCATTGCGCTTCCTCCTAACACTACTATCGTGCTCTCTCCTTCTACTGTTCCCGTACCCAGTTCTCGATTATTGCTATTAGCGACTCGATTCAAGGCACTGAGTGCATTGATATCCGATTTCAGGACATTTGGGCGTCTTTGGGGACTGCTCGCAATTTACAAATGGGCAAAAGCGACGTGGAACAGTCCGCCTGAAGATACATTGATCAGAAAGATTGTACAAATCCAAGTACTTGCGAATCTCTGCTACCAAGTTTTGGAAAACGGCGCATATCTCAGTTCCAAAAATATACTTTCCTGGGATAAAACTAAACAGGCGAAAGCGGGAATTTGGAGTGTGAGATGTTGGATGGTACATGTGGGACTTGATATTGTGAAGTTGGGGATCGAGTATGGAAGAAGAGATAAGGAGATGGCGGAGATGAAGGGAGAGAAAGAGAAGGAACATAGAGAGTGGATGGAGAGGTGGAGGAAGAGTTTAATTGTTAATTTGGCGTATGCACCTTTGACGGTGCATTGGAGTTTGGAGGGTGGTTTGGTGACGGAATTCTGGGTTGGTTTATTGGGAACTGTGGCAGGAGGAACGAGCTTGAGATATCTGTGGAGAAATACTGCATAGGAAGGTTGTGGGGGAGGGACGGAGGGAGAGTAGAATAGGATGATGGTCAAATTGGAAGAATAATTAAAGAACATGGCCATGCTAATGTCAAAAGGAGGAATGAGGATGAAGAGGATAATTTGGAAAACAAGTGCTTACTTACATCCGATGTGCTATATGTAGTATGTATACAAACAATCTATTCATCACACACCACAAATCTCCATGAGCTTAAGATATCCCATACACAAAGCCTACCCATCAGGGCCCCAACAAACTTCCAACCCACTCACCAAACAAACCTCATCTCCAATCCCCCAACCGTCCTCCATCCCCCAACAAACCCCCTCCCTCACATTACCATCCTCCACTCTGTACCTTCCCGCACTGCATTCCTGGTACCGGTAGTCCTCACACTCTCTCATTGGTAGCTAATTGTACAATGACATCACATCATATCACGCTATGCTACTTCATAACCGCTTCATCGTCTCACTAATTGATATCTCCCTCCCTCCCAATATATCATTTCATGGATATATGAATAGGTATAAATATAGGTGTCGGTACAGGTATCATTATGAGTACAGATACAACAACAAAAACAATCAAGCAAACCAGTATAAAAAGGCGACCTGCATATTTCCTTTCCACCACAGCATACACACGTATCAAGCAAACAACCCAACCTGCCATGTATTCGCCTTTCCATTTCCAATCAGAATAATCTTACAAATACAAATACCAATCACAGCCAATACTCCACAGCAAACAGCAACGAGTATCACACAAACGTAGGTATGTAGTAAAAAGTGTGTGTTGGCAGTGTAGTGCGTGGTGCGAGGGAGAGGGAGAGGGAGTGTGGTTACATATGTATTGTGTCGTACTGGGAGGATCGTATTGTGGTGTTATGGCGTTGTATCGTATTGTATTATGATGTACTATATAGTAATAAGTACTATGCTATATTAAAACCTGAAAATTTCTTTCATCTGTTTATTTATTTATTCATCTATCTATCTATCTGTCTATATCTAATTATTCATTACAAATAACTATTTAGATACTTAGTGAAAAGAAAAACAAAAATGAAGACTAAAATCTCGCTCGCTTATTCCCAATCCTACATTTGACAGTGTAACTCTAGAGATCTCAGATATCTATATATACCTATACATATAGAATTTGATATATGCTGTGTACCTAAGTAAGCCTAGACCTCCAGCTAGATTTGAGGGGAGAGGAAGAAGGAGAGGAAGAGGAATGGTCAATATTTTCTACGGTTTGTACGTATGTGTATGCATATACGTATACAAGCCATATCCAGTATCCCCCCAAAATTCTCGCAAAGGGATAAAGTTACCTAGCATCAAGCATCTCGCACCGCACCGCACCGCAACAACAAAATCATCTCTTGATTTTCGATATAATTTTTTTGTTTATCTATCCCTCTCTCTCTCTCGCGCGCGCGCGCGCATAAAGGAATGAATGATAAGTGATATTATTAATTGTTCATTTTATAAGCGGTGAGAATTTTGTTTCTGGTTGGGGTGAGAAGTGGATGGATGGATTGATGTGAGATCCCGTTGATATGGTAAGTGTTACTTACTTACTTATTTACTCATCTTTTTTACAACCTATTATCCAGTTAACATATCTCTATCTCTATATCTACTTCAATTTTAAAACTTCAACTTCAACTCCGACTTTGAACTCGAGAACTCGAGGAGGGGGATATACACAATAATATCTACCTCCCTATCTCCCTAAACAAATAAATCTTGCAAAACTACATCAAGAATTGAGAGAATATCTATATCTATATCTATCCATATACATTCCCAAAGCCATCAAAACAAACACCTCCCTCTACGAGTACAAACTAAACTAAATCCCCAAGATCCCTATAATACCTATCAGTACCAGTCTGTACCAACCAGTCCCATAGCAGTATCAACCAGTCCGAACCCATCCCAATAAATAGCAACCCCATCCATCCATTCATCCATAAACCTCTCAAATCCCTAGTTAAGTAAGTACTAGGTAGGTAACACACCCCAACCAGGTAACATACATACTCAGCATAAATAGCCTACTCAGCGCAGACCAGCCTACTAATAGGTAGGTAACAATAACAATAACAATAACAACAACAATCCATCGTAACAACCATCAAGACACTCAAAGAACATATCTAGCTAGATAGATAGATAGATTCCCACAACCACAACCTCAACAGAAACCAAGTATCAAGAAACTAATTAACTAACTAACTAACTACTAGATATTTACCGTAGATAGATACCTAATAGATACCTCATCAATACAAGTACAAATATAGAGAGAATACCAACTGAATGACTGAATGAATGAATGACATACTAGCATACAATTAAAAGACTATCAACTATACTAAACTACGTATTCAACTGACTAACTGACTGACCAACTGACTGCTTACAGAACACTATATTCTTCCTCTTCCTCTTCCTCTTCCTCTTCCTCTTCCTCTTCCTCTTCCTCTTCCTCTTCCTTCATTTTGATTCATCGTTTTATTTCACCCTGACAAAATAAAGAAGAAGTGAAATTTCCAGTTTTTCCAGTCTGTCCTGTCCTGTCCTGTTCTGTGTGATCATTGCTTGGAGATTTTTCTCTTATATGCCCTCCTCTCCTCCTCTCCATCTCATCAGTGTACCCTTCCACTCTGCCAATAACTCATTTCCTAATAACCCAACCCAACCCATTTCCCACATCCCATCCCCTCCCACCTCCTCCACCTCTCCCACCCCTAAATAATCCTATACCCCTCCCCATCCGCCTTCCTCCTCAACCCCAACAACTCCAACAACCCCGTATGAATCTCCGGATGATCCTCCACACACCTAATATACATCGCAAACCCCTGCAACTCTTCCCACAGGCCCCATCCCTTGATATACTTCTTCAACCACTCCCGCAACCCATCGTCCACTTTCGCGCTCATCATAATCGTCACCACGATTCCCGTCAACGTACTCCCACTCACGATATTATCCGAACATTGTTTCTTCAGCTGCGTCAGCGATT